AAATCCTGCACTTTATATCAAAGGTTCCATAGAAAAGTTATTCTATGCGTCATGTCCCGTTGGCGATCATGGCTCTCCGTAATTTCCTGTTCATTGTAGCTCATTGAATTTTTGTTTTTGCTATCTCTCCTAAACACTGTTCTGCCATCCATTTGCACAAACACAGGTATGTTATGCACTGTTTTTCTCTGTTCCTCTTGTTTACAATCTATCCTGTGCGTATAGTATTTTACAAGACCACTCTCCTCATTATATGCTCTAAAGCTTGTATACAAATCATCTGCAGTGCGTTCCTATAGTAAAATCATTTACAATTCAATGCTCTAGTAAAATAAATATACATTTGATGAGTTAATATATATGTATTTAATCATTCTTATTCATTGTCTTCTGTTTGCTATGGCCTTTCAGCGCGTAACTGATCATGTCTCTCCAAAAACTTCTAACATTTCTAGTTCTAAGCAATGTTTTTCCAATCACCCCACCCATTCTTTGTTTAGATATACATATGCATATATCTCCTTAGAAAGGTTACACGCTCTTTCTCTCTACCACTTTTGTATTCCTGTCATGTGTGTGTCAAATTCTACCAACCCTTTACTCATTGTGTGTCTGTAAAATTTCAATTGTCTCTTTAAATAGAAGTGACCTTGTTTTCCGTCCATCCGTGGTAACCTTTATATATATAACCTTATATATATATATATATATATATATATATATATATATATATATATATAATAAAAAAATTAAATATTCATCTTTTTGAATCGAATTTTCGCACATATTGTGTCCGCTTGTCAAAGAGAAAATAATTACTTACTTTAAAAGCATCATTCCCCAGAAATACACAGATCGACAATTATCTTTTAATAGTGAAACAAAATCTGTTTTATATATATATATATATATATATATATATATATATATATATATATATATATATATATATATTTCAAAGTAATGAGAACAAAAATAATATAAATTCTAACGTTGACAGCATTAATTCAAAAGAGGGCTCAATACCAAGAGTAAATCAATAATTATTTATTAGAATTTTTACATACGGACAAAATAAACTTACTCACTACAAAGATACATTCTTGTTTCGATGCGGCTGCTTCTCGTCTGGTGAGAATCAAAAATGGTTATGAACAATTCTATTCACAAGCAAGCCGCTTATGAAAAAAGAAAAACAGGGAGAAACACCTTAAGAGTAAAGAAAAGGGGGAAAAGAGAAGTGGTTGACTGGGTAAATTCTAGTCCGCTGGAGTCAGTCAGAAAGAACTTTAGTGACGTAACGGAAAGTAACCGAAGTGAACCATAATATTATAACCGGTAAGTGTGAGTTATAACATTTTCCCTTACAACTTTTGTCATTCATTCTGACCTGAATAAGTCAAAACCTACCGATCACAGCGAAACGTGTCGTCTATAGATTTCCCTTATTTTGTTTCACCAACTCCACACACACACACACATATATATATATATATATATATATATATATATATATATATATATATATATATGATAATAATAGCGGTCATATATATATATATATATATATATATATATATATATATATATATATATATATATATATTATAAATTAATTGATTTAAAATATGGTTTTTCGCTACACAGTTCTAACCATGTTTCAAAAATGGAAGCTAAAAGCCCCCAATTTCATTTTGTGATTAAATTAAAGACAATTAGTTCCATTTCATCCTCTGTAAATTTACATTGAGCACTATTTTGTAAAGATAAAAATATCTATAAGAACACCGGATTATATATCTTACTGTTCTTTTTTTTTTTATATATATATATATATATATATATATATATATATTATATATATATATATATATATTCAAGAGGGTAGAATCCAGTTAGAATGCAATGTCCAGAACAGAGTAAGAATATAATATAAAATGCTCAAGTACTAATATTCCATGATTTTGAATTTGTAGATCCGATGAATTGGATCATGATGACGATTCCAATGTAATAAATTATAACCATGGAATATTAGTGTTTGAGCCTTTTATCTATATATAGGTAGTTTCGTAGTTATATATATATATATATATATATATATATATATATATATATATATATATATATATATATATAATAACTACGAACCTACCTGTCTCTTTAGGTTCGTACTTAGATTTGCCCTACTTAGTGTATTAAGCCCTTTGCTTAGTTATTTTCACTTTACTCGTGTCGGAAGTTTTTTCTTTGGACTCTGAGCTTGGATTCTGGACGATTGTTTTCGCCTGAATTACATGTTCTTTGTTCTTTCTTTTTTTATTTCTTATTTTTCCTTGGGTATTCGTTTGTTCATTTGCAAGCCAATACACCTAAGTTTTTTTTCTGGACGAGTATACTTACTAATATTTATAAGATTATATATATATATATATATATATATATATATATATATATATTATTATTATTATTATTATTATTCTCCCACCAACATTACTAATCACTACTAATAATTTAAAATATATATTAACCACTTATATTATTATTGCCACCAACCCCCTTACATATTACTATCACACCATATCTACCATTACCATATAATCCTGCCGTAATTATTAACGTAAACTACCCCTTCTCCCAGCATATTTAATACCACCATAAAAAAGCAATAAGGATTACAAACTGAAATTTCTACCAGTCACATATACGCAGTCACAAAAAAGCACGGAAATAACCAGCTTTAATATAATAACAATAATATTTTTGTAAATTAAAAATTAAAAATTATAGCAATCTTCAACTACCATAATTTTACACAGAAAACCTATTATCAGGATTCATACCAAAATAATTTAATACATATAACAAAATAAAATAAAACACCAACAACCACTTTTTAGTTCAAGCTACCACAACTAGCTACCACCACTATAACTACATTCATGGTTTTATCATTCTCCCACCACCGTTACTAACCATTTCTACCAATTTACAATTTCTATCAATTTACAATAACTATTAGCTAATTATATTATCATTGTCTCCAATCCCTTGCAACATTACTATCACATCATATCATATAGACCCGTTATTAAATTAAACTACCCTCTCACCCTGCATATCAAATATTAAACATCACCATACAAAATAACCAATAAGGATTACAAATTTCTACCTGTTACATATACACAGTCATCAAAAACAAACAAATAACCAGCTTTAAATATAACAAATAAACCCCCATTTTTTTTTCAAAAATTTAAAAATAAATATAAATAATAATTTTTACCTATCATAATTTTACACAAATCCCACCACACGTATATACACACATGCGAGGAAATATTATTCAGCGGAAAAATAAATAATATGTCATGTATACATTCACGAGATATTCACGAGACATTTCCGCCACACTTCCAATCTTTAAATTTCAACATACAAATGCGTATGTATAGACACAACACCACCCGTATACATGCATATGTCATATCCGAAACTGCCCACATATGTTTATATATGTATGAGTCCCGACGGACGACCAAGTATGTATATGTGTCTGCATACATCGATGTTTGCGTTAGTACGATGACATAAGCGACGAAATTTCCCCCACCACTTCCACAATAACACCAATACACGCAATCTACTACATAAACCCAAATTTTTAAAAAATTAATCAGTTTGTCTGACGATCGCTAAAGCGTGAAACCCAGGGTCACAAACTCACATCTATCCAACCAAATATATATATATATATATATGTGTGTGTGTGTGTGTGTGTGTGTGTGTTATCCCAATTCATTTTGGGAATTAAAAATTGTACATGTCTGAATTCAAGTATTCTTCCAACGGAGAATAGGACACGGTTGCAGTATAATGATTTTTTTCGGGCAACTGGTTAATATCTTTATGTTCGAATGCATTTTGTTCTTAATCCTTTGTACATCAATTCCAATGTAAGAACCTTATTTATAATCTTATCGCGTTTTGTTGCTTTAATATTGCTTTTAAAAACTCAACTTACATAGGGCGATATATATACCTGGTTTGATGACACATCCAGACATGCTCAACGGATATGAGAGGTCGTCATCAGCCACACTGTTTCTCACCCAGCAAACTTTCAGTGAAACAGTTCTAACGTATTGAAATCGATATCTAATAAAAGTGCTACAGCTTTTTGATTTACCTGGACGAGTTGAGGAAACAGAAGTATTGATCGAATACCATGAGCAGATCGAACATCAAAACTAACACTTGTTTAGTACCGTTTTTTTTTCTTTCTTTTTTTTTTGTTTCGGTGTAAATGAAATTGACCGGAAGAAGCATGAGGATTCACCATTATATTTCTGGAACGGTAACGAAAATAGAATGGTTAGCATCGCTGATATGCTGGCATGACGTCAAAGAAATTGGCTTGAAGAATAATGCCCAAGTGTAATTTCATGTAAAAGCAACTGTAAATAGAATTTTCAGTGACTGTCATCCGCAGGAGAAAGTATTTAAAGCGATTTGAGAGAGGGCGCGTCTCACATTTGAATATTTGCAAAAGCCAATTAAGGCAGTTTCAGTGTCGTAATAGAAAGAAGTGTACAAGTGACATCTGTCTTTGCATTTGTGGAAAAGTAATTGAAAATATAATCGAAAGAAGCGTGTAATTAATTTGGAATGGGAGTGACACTTATCTGTGCATTTTCGTTGCGTTCAAATAGCGAAGATCGAACGTTCAGTGTAGACTGACGCAACACCTGGGGTCGATCGGATTCCGACAATTACTTAGAGTGAAGCGATACAATATCACACTAACAGACTGGGAAGTGGCAATAATCCAACTTTTTCCAGGTCTCTGCCCTATTATATTCTTTCACGATCACGATCTTGCTATGACAAAATGTTAGATAGATAGATAAATAGATAGAGAGAGAGAGAGAGAGAGAGAGAGAGAGAGGGATAGAAAGAGGAGGAGAGAGTTTGAAGCGAAATAGCTAGCTAGCTAGCTAGCTAGATAGATAGATAGATAATGAGAGAGAGAGAGAGTGGGGAGAGAAAGGAGGAGAGAGCTTGGAGCGAAATAGATAGATAGATAGATAGGTAGATAGATAGAGAGGGGGAGAGAGCTTGGAGCGAAATAGATAGATTGTTAGATAGATAGATAGAGAGCGAGAGAGAGAGAGAGGGAAAGGAGATAGAAAGGATAGAGAGAGAGAGAGAGAGAGCTTGGAGCGAGATAGATAGATAGATAGATAGATAGATAGATATGAACAGAACACAAAATGCCCACTTGAAACCAGACGGCACCTGGTAAGAAACAATGCATTTATTAATAAGAAAAGTCGAAATTAATGCATGCACGATTTCACACACACACACACACACACACACACACACACACACACACACACACACATATATATATATATATATATATATATATATATATATATATATAAATGTTGGAGGCATTTTTACTATCGATTGTATATTGTTCCAAGATAACACGGATAATTTTTTCATCCAATTGTGAATTTTTATAAAAATAAACTGACCTTTTAAGCAATTTCTGCTTCTCCATGGCAAACCCTTCCAAACGTTGCGCTGGAAAGAATGTGCCTACTAACATATATCCAGACGTACTGTCAACCATCCCCACCCAATGCCGCACTACTCTGAGCTTTCCGTACTCTCTCCTCCAAATGGAGAGCAATCGTCCTCGGAAGAGAACAGCAATTCAGAAGAAAATAAAGTCATTGGTCTAGATTCCAAAGGCGCAGCTGAGGAGAGAACTCCAACCGAAAAGACCTCAACGCCGTAATCAGAGATGTTTGTCTCACAAAGTCCAATGCTGAACTTTTGACTTCGAGATTGAAGCAGTGGAATGAATTAGATAAAAGCGCAAGTCCCAAGTCAGAGAAAGCGTCACCAGTGTTTTTATAAGATTTTCTCCTGTCAAGATAGGCTTTGCTTCTGTCACAATATGACCGAACTGTTCAAGGCAACTGGAATCAACTGTGACCCAAACGAGTGGGGTACCACTTCATCGACAGCTCATCTAGGAGCCTCAAATCCGCTCTGCTTCATAATATGTATCCATATCTTCCCATGGCTCACTCGGTGCAACTCAAAGAGGAATATATATGAAGAGTACAGATGAGGAGGTTATCGTGGACTTCAAGATGGTGACAACCCGGCACACTACCATGAGCGGAACTCTCCACAACGGGCTAAATTCAGTACGGGAAGGGACAAAGTCAAATTGAAGCCACAGTTGAACCCCCGGCAATTATTGTTTTTTCCACTGTACTTAAAAATGGGCACTATGAAACAATTTTTCACAGCTCTAGATAAGGAGTAAGCAAGTTTCAAGTAACTTCAAAACTTCTTCCTTAAGTTATCTGCGATAAAAGCCAAAGCCGGTATCTTCGTCGGGCCACAAATAAAGAGAACGATGGAGTGTAAGGAATTTCCCAAGAAGGTGACCAGGACGGAGAAAGCAGCGTGGGACAGCCGTTCATGGCTTCCAGGGGTATAAAAACAGCGTGGAGCACTACGTGAAGAACTACGACAAAATGGGCTGCATGATGTCCCTCAAAGTCCGTATCCTTGACGCTCTTGATAAATTCAAGGAGGACATGGAGGCGTACTCAGAGTAAAAAGGATATACTGGACATTGAATCAAGGATCTTATAAAGAAAACATGATTGCAGACTATATTTGGGGGATGATTTGTGAAATTAATTTACAGTTTAAGTGTAAATCGCGAAAAACTACCAATTTTTTGATGTCTCTCTTGTGTAATCCTAGAATAAATAAATGCTAATTAGAATCATATGTCGCCCATCTTGATTAATTCAAGGAGAACATGGAGGCGTACTCAGAGGACATAAGCGAGTATTTCCACCAGGATATACTGAAATTGGAACGCCGCTAATGTGGCGTAAAGGCTTCAGTCACTTTCCCACCGCCATAATGTAGCTTTTTGTGGTCACTCTTGTGTAATCCTAGAATAAATAAACGCTACTTTTAAATCATAGGTCGTTTTGTTCCTACTTTGCGTGAACGAGAATGTCCTTTTGTAATCCTAGAATGAATAAATGCTACTTTTAAATCATATGTCGCTTTGTTCCTACTTTGCGTGAAGTAGAATTTTTCACATTCGCTAATTTTCCGAATTTCAGAGATATCATTATTGTGTTCACAAAAGCAAAGTTTGAAGGAAATATTAACCATTTTTCATACTTGCTCGGCATAAGCAAATAGAAAATAACACTTGTTACCTAAGGACAAATATTGTTTTCACATAAGTAAACAGTGAATATTACCATTAGCATTACATATTTATATGTTAGATTAATAAAAAAAATATATATCCATTTTCGTCTAAGATCGTAATGCATATGCAGTTGGTAATTAGACGTACAACCACTCGAAATGTAATGTGACACAAGGTAGGTTTATTGCGGGTTTGTTGGGAGTACCACAGAAAAATTTTGAAGTCATCTCGTCACTTTCCCTTTTTGGGACGCCCCAGGCTCAAGGCAATAAGGGTGAGCAAGTATTATCCAGTCATGCGAGATATTGCTCGACCTCTGTCACATAATGATTTTCTAAACGTACTTTTGATGTGGTACAATGCCGAAAGAGTGGAGTACCCAATGAGGATCGAAGTCGCTACACAGTCGTAAATGATCTCTCGAGAGCAGCCTGCTAACCATTATGCTACACCGAACAGGTCAAACTACGGTGGGTGCGGGGGGGAGACATCTAAGCGTAGCTTAGAAGTGGCAAAAGGCCGAAAACACGGACCACCCAGTGTGGTTCGAACTCACTTTTTACTCGTAAGTGATTTAGCAAGACAAGCTTGCTAAACATTACACCCATCGTAGTGCCCCTTCCTGTATGTGATTTTCTAAGCGTAGTTTAG